TGTTTTCCATAAATTAACACTAGGTTTATTGACTCCAGTGATTTCTTTTCTTCGTGGTCACCATCTTTCTGCCATAGGTGCCAGACAGAACCCAACCAAGATCAGCCATCAGAACCCACTGCGAGAGAAAGGAAGGAGTTCCCACAAAGGCAAACCTAGATGTGTTTACAGGATTGAGATTTAAAGCCTAACATTAAGCAAAAAATAGTTTGAGTGGGGCTGAATAGAAGATGATCAAATTCATGGATGAGCAGAAACACACATTGTCAGGGAATATGAGGGAATTTTTTTTTGTCCTTTTCATTAGCTCTGAAAAAGAACTTTCTCCTATTATCTGCCCCCATTTAAATCTAAGGGAGCAACATGTAAGAAGCAATGTAACTCCCGGAAGAATATACATGACAATAATGCAAATAAATTTTAAAAATTAGTTCAAAAGCATTTTAATTTAGCATTTTCTGTTATTGATACCACTCATAATCATTCAAATGTTTAGCACAAACCTCATAAAATTAAGTCAGCTATATATTTCAAAACATGAAATTCTTAGTAATAAAGCATCTAAAAAAACCAGCAGTCATAAGTATAAAATATTGCAATCAGTGATATTTAATAGAAAAGGGGACTACAACAGAATGCATTTTTATACCACTACTCAACAAATTTGATAGCTGAGTTTATCAATATTTCCTTCTCTTACTAATGATATCATTTTTATTAGTGGTACAGTGCCTAAAGTTGTTGAGAACCTTTTATATATGTAAGTTATGTCAATCAATATTTCCCATATTAAAAGATGCATAATTGGACATACTGACATGAATAACATATTTTTAAGAAAAATAACTATTATCAAAAACTCAAAACAATAATAAATTGACATTATTTTACATTTTGCAATTTCTTTTCAATACATAGCATAATGTACTCATTCTGCTGTAATTTCATGTGTCACAACATCATAGTTTTGCTTAGAAAACGACAGCATAGTGATGAAAATAACTTTGACTCCAAAGTCTCCTCATAGGATTTGGGGATCTGTAGGGGTCCTCAGAGCACACTAAAAAACTGCTGCTATAGCCAAAGAACAAACCAATCAAAGATCTTAGTTCTAGACAAAACCTAATTTCTTAAAGACACATCATCTAATTTTCTTGATCGTAGTTCCCTTCTGTGCAAAATGAAGTTTGGGACAAGATTATTTCTCAGATTTCTCCTAACTCTAAAATTCTGTGATTCAGTGAAACAATAAAACCTACCTATAGTCCCCTACACGTTTTTATGCCTCCTGTGTTTGTCCAAGTTTTTAGTCTCAAATTGTCATTATTATAAGAGAAAACTGACCTTATAAATTAATTCCAATTAAGTCGCTAGTGTTATTAGTCCAGCTAAGAAGAGTAACTGAAATTTAAAAAAAAAAAAAAAAAAAAAGTCCTCTCTTAAAGGCAATGTGGAATCTGAAACAGAAAAAGGATTTTAGTGGAAAAGCTGATACCTTACAGACACCCTTTAGATACCTCTTCGCAACCATCTGGTCTCTAGGCCCTTACTGACACCTAACCATTTTTCAAGAACCCAAAACAAAAAGGGAATTTTTCAGATACTTTGGAACATGATGGCAAAAATCCCATATAGAAATATGATTTTGGGGGGGAAATGCTGAAATCTAAGTCATTTAAAGTGAAAATTTCATTTTCAGTGAGCCTTAAAATTATAAATATTCAATTTATTGTTTGTTTATCAATTCAATAAGATTCATAAAGAATATTGCTCATTACAAACAATTATTATAAACATTGGTTTGTTTTTACTGCTTAGCATCTAAAACCCTTCCAATGTTTGAGGAAGAAACCTATCTTGAGAGCCTCAATCAGATCAATAAACTAATTCTCACTAGAGAAGTTGAAAATATCAGATTGGACCTTCCCTGATGGTGCAGTGGGTCAAAGCGCAGCATTGCAAATGAGTCAGGGCCTTCAGAGTTCCACCCCTGGCCCCGGAGCTGTCCCATATGATGGGGCAGACCTCTCCTGACCTGCCTACTCCCCTCAGCAGTGTACTCCATCAATCTGCCTGTTGTGTTCCCCACTCTGGTGAATCCTCTCATTGCCCCTGCACTTGTGGCTTTTACCCCAGTTCTGTATGCATAAATAAAAAATCTTTAAAAATAAATAAATAAAACACCATATTGTCAAATGTCTGCAGTCTGCCTGTGCACACCTCATCCATGAGCAGGCGTTTGTTCTCTGCTGAGTCAGACAATCTCAGTCAAGGCTATCGATGCAAAGAACAGGGAAGGGAAGAACTGTTTTGTTGTTGGAGATACTAATGGTGACTAAAAGACTCAGTTTCAGAGGTAGAAGTGGTTTCTGTGCATATGCAAGGTCTGGTGTCCATGAGTGATTTGGGGATTGGGAAAGAAAGTTGGCCAGCTGCATGAGCCAGTGCTCATTGGTAGAGGTATCTTTGTGGAGCCAGCTCTGTATTTGCTTTTGACCATTGTTCAGTCTGTTCCTGTCTGTTTCCTGAGGCCAGTTTCAGCTCTCCTGATGACTCTGCAATCTGTCCAATATCTTAACACCAAGTTCATTTTCTGTTTAAATCAAAGTTGATTTCTGTCACAAGAAACCCCAGCTAATCCATTCTCATTGACACAATAGAAATAGTTCAGTCAAATGAATATTAGCAATAGTATTTCTTTTCATTCAAAACTCCTTCTCAGTTAGTATATAATAGGTAATTTAAAATATGTAAGAGAGGACTTAAGATAGTTTTAAGTAGTCATGACACTTGTTTTTCAGTAATTATAAGTAGATGGCTAGATTTTATGTGTAAGATAGAAATATATATATATACATATATATATATATATATAGTTGTTGCTCAGTGAGTTAAACTTAAATCTCAGTAGCTAAGAGCTACCATACAGAAAATAGCTCAATGATTTTGTGAACAAGGCTAAATAGTTAAGTTACTTTCAGACACTATAGAGCACAAAATCATTCTGAGGAAATGGTGGTGTACTCTGTCAAAGACCTCTCCAAACTGAGAAAAGTAGGGACTTACACGGGTTCTAGGGAAGTTATTTAACTATCTCTCTTAAGAATGTACTTACAGATGCAATAAAATCAACAACAAACTGAATTCCAAGGCCAATTAGGAATTGACAACACAGAGAAAGAAGGGGCTACCCACAAGAGGGGCATCTTAAAAAAACAGAAACTTTGCCCTGGGCACCTATTATAAAAAAGTTTTCTAGTTGGTTTCTATAAATGGGATGTCTACTCAGTCCCAAGATCATATTACATTTACTTCTTTTAATCTTAGCCCTTGTACATTGGGTTACTTAGTTCTTTTTGCCTTCAAGAGTCTAGAGACATTAAAGCCTGGAAATAATTATGAATCAAGAGACTATTACAACATTATGAGAACTCTGAGACAACCAATTGTATCTCAGGTTAACTAGGGAAGATTCTGTTCTTCTACAGGGCCTCACACTTCCACTCCAATTCAACAGGAAGTAGTTCCAGAAGGTGGACCTCTGCCCATGGCCCTTCAAGAATGAAGAACAAGACATAGAGGAGGGAATTGTCAACAGTGGTGTAACCACAAGTTCCTTGTCCTTACTGTTTGTCCTTGCTCTGTTTTTGTAGACAGAAACAATGAAATCCAGACTAGACTGGCTATGACCAAGGAGGTAGAAGTAAACAAGGATTAAGCACAAATAGCACTACCACAGTAAAAGTATACTCCCCAGTGCCATGACCAATTCAGTCACAGCTAACTTGGAGGAACAGGGGCATGAACACAGTTCCTTCAAAACCTTGCCGATTTTTCTGAAATTCTACAGACACAGACTCTTTTGTTTCTCCACTTCCTTAGCACTGCCACATATAAGTCTCCACTTCTCCTCAATTTGGAGAGGTCTTGAGACAGTAATCCACCATTTCCTTAGAATGCTGGCTCCTGCTTTAACCTTATTTTCTTCCACCAACTCTTGTCTTGTGTATTTTTGTTTATGACTGCAGAGTAGTAGACCCCAATGTCCTTAACACTTTCAATATACTATGGTCCATGAGGTCTCATGAAGACACTAGCATTACCCTAAACAGTAAAGTCTAATAGTCAGTTTTTTTAATATATAACTTGAATTAAATATGTCCCTTTTTGATATAAATCAGACCCATACATTGAGAATCTGAAACAAAACTCAGTTACCAAATCCTGGTCCAAGTGTGCATCAGCTCTAAGGTACCAACTAGCATTAATTCACTAAGCATGCTTTTTACAGTGATACCACTTGAGTCTCAGCCCTTAACAATGGTGGAGTTAATCTCCATCCTACATTCGCTCACTTATTCAGCCTCCTTCTGAGTTGAAAGCATTTCTAGTTCTATCAAAACATTGCTCCCTCTCAAACATACATCTTGATTTTAATGATAGAAGATTTGTTTAATATACAAGTCTTCACATTTCTTATACTTTAATTATAGTAATGCCTTACCACCTCATATCATAGTAAGAAAGACATTAAATTGAACAATGTTAATTATGATTTCATGCCAATAGTGTAGTTGAAAGAAAACAGACTGTATGCTAACTCATTATGCATGCTGGCATAACTTTTTAATTAAGTCTTATTCATATTTTAACATGAATCTCCATAAAAAATAAGCATTCAGTTACATATTTATTATTTCCTACTTATTTAATCAGTCTAAAAAATGAGCTACATTTAAGAGTTCATATCACTTTGAATTTTGTGTTTATAAAACAGAACAGTCAAAAGCATGTTCAAAATAAATGATATGTCAAAAAAGGATTATCCAGTTCATGATTGCTCAATTTACAAATGATCAGTCCTTGCAATGGAAACCTTGGCTCTTGCAGTAATGATTTTGAACTAGTAGAAAACCACGAAGATTGTGAGGAAATTGGTCCCTAATCAAGCAGCAAAGAAGACTATCAGAATTTCTAGTGAAACTGGAGACCCCCCTTACCCCACCCTAGCCCTGCGGGCTCCAGGATCCCAGACCCAGAAGTTGTTTTCTGGCAATGCAAGTGGCAGCATGTGACAGGTATTTTACTATCGCCACCAGTGGCCCCACTAGGGCTCTGACTGCAGACAAAGTCCAGCAGTGATGGGAGTGGTTCTGCTACCACACCACCCCAGGGCATGCAGCCCTGAGCCAAGGCTGCAGAGCAGAGCACGGAACTGCTCTGGGCCAGCTCCAATGACGGGGTTACCTCCAGCTGCAGGCAGTAGAGAGGTCTGTGGATTTGGAGGCTGGATGATAGAATGGATCAATCAGGTGCAAGCAATTGATATAAACTGACTGGTAAATGGTTCAATCAGCCGTAAGATTGAAAATGGTCCAATCAGACTTGTAGGTAGGTGATATCCGTCAGGGTCGGCATAGCTCCAGACTCAGACTTACTGACTCAGGCTGTTCTTGACCTCCAAAAGAAGCAACATCCAGTAGTTAACCTCCTGAAGGGAGAAGAGAAGCCACGGATCTTCCTAGCTACTAGGCTGGCCGCCTCTCCCGCTGGCCTGTCTCTGACGCCACCTAAAAGGAGTACCAAAGACCCTGGGCCTGATGTCTTGAGGAGCTTTTTGTAGATGTTGTGGGCCAACGATTCAGAGAGTTGTTGACAGGGTGTTTCTGACACTGCCACCTTCCAATGACCAGTGCTAACAAGCACCACTGACAGGTGACTGGCACTCTGTGCCCGGGTCACTTCTGAGAGCTGTGAACAGTGTGTCTGATCATCCGGCACTGCGTCCCGGTGATGCCGCTGCCATCACTGTCTATGCCAGCATCTGCTGCTGTCCATCCCCATCTTCAGACTGTTTCTGTGAGCAGCTGCATCATCTCAGTGGTCCTGCCTGTGAGCACCTTCTGCTACAGTGAGTTGTATCCTGACCTGCTGCTTTCTGGATACCACAAGCTCCAGGCTCTTGACAGGGCAGCGCCATCTTGAATGAGCAGCCTTTTAAGGATTTTTGGGCACCATGGACACTCTACGGTGAGATGGCAGCCGCCTGTGACCTTAAGAACTCTCTTTACTTCCCCCATTAGAACTTTCCTCCATTAGCTAAATAAGCCCCATTTCTTGTAATGGAGAAAGCCATTGGACAAGCAGTGTGAGTAGCCTCTAACTGAACACTAGAAGGATATGGGGGCCTAAATCCCACAAATCTGACCGAAAATCTGAAATGGCTGAGAGTACATTCATCTCCAGTGCTTCAATGTGAGAGCCCAGACTGACTGAAACTTAATTTTACTCTTGTGAGAGCCAAAAGTCAGAGAATACAGCTGAATCCACTCTGACTTCTGATTTATAGAACTAAGATAATTAAGTTATTAAGTCTCCACATTTGTGTTAATTATACTATGGAAAATACAGTGACAAGCATAGTATTGGGAATCAGAATATTATGAATTTCTCAACCGGAAAGATATAATCTAGAAGAAAATGGAAAGTGTTTTTAAAATCCTGAGGGACAATTTCAAATCTAAAATTATTTCCAAATCTACAATCTTGTCAAATTCTGAAGCAATTGGGAAAACAAGCTAGTAGGATATTCGGAAAAAACTTATCCTTCATTATCATACTTTTCTTCAGGAGGTTACAGAAGGATGTGTCCCACTACAATAAAAAGCTGAATAAGAATCAGGTGGTTCAAAACAAGATCCTTTCCATGGAGGTAAAGAGAACTCCTTGATGACAGCTGTACCCAAAACCCAAAGAGAACCACCACAGGTCAAGGTGAGTCTAAAGGTCTTTGGGAGATTCTTGAAAATGGGTCTGGTGGGGTGCATGTATCAAAAAGAGATTTAATATATTGGTTAAGAGCTTAGTGTCAAATTGATGATGAGTAAGTGGAAAGATAAGCAAGTGAAGAAAAACTGCTATTATTCTCAAAGAAAACAAAATTGTGCCAATGGAAAAAAAAATATGTTTTGCTGAACATTAAATGACTTTTATATCTGTTGCTGCTTAAATACATAATGTTGTAAACACAACAATGTGATTATTTCATGAATGGAGAATCTACTGTCAGTGTTTCTGTCCAAAGTGCTACATGTTCATTGGAACCTAAAACTGGCCTCTGTAGCACTGACTCAGAGGGAAACTAACCTCCATCCTTATTTTATTTCTATGGGAAAATATATCCCAGATCTTCTTTAAGAGACTTACAAATGAACTTTGAAACCAACACCATTATCCCACAAAAATAAAAACATACTATTAAATAACTGCTGCTTTTAGTAATAGAGACCTGAAAATTACATTCAGAAATACTTATTTTAAATTTGGAGATTCCTCTAACAGGTTTATTTCTCCTCTTTTTACTTTTTATAAACTTTAGTTTTTTTTAATACATAACCAGTGGTTTCACTTCCATGTCAATTAGATTAAGAATAATAGAAAATCCAAAATAATGGCTTAAACAAAATAAAATTTAATTTTCTTCCAAAAATATAATGGAAAGATAGGCAAGCCAGAGTTTATAGGGCCAGAGATCCCTGTTCCTTCTGACTTACTACTCCATCAACCATAACCATGACTTTTTTTTTTTAAAGATTTATTTGTTTATTTAAAGATTTACTTATTTAAAGAACTGGGGTACAGGTTAGAGGTGTGGTGGGTGAGAGGAGTCACCAGAGACAGAGTGGGGAGCAGAACAGGCAGATTGACAAAGTACACTGCTGTGGGGAGCAGCAGGCGGGTCAGAAGAGGTCTGCCACACCATGTGGGTCAGCTCCTTGACCCAGTCAGCTTCTTGAACTCATGTTGCAGTGGCTTCGGAGAGCTTCATAATGGCAGTGCTTTAACCCGTTGTGCTACCAGATAGAGACAACCATAACTTTTTCAACATGAACCCCAAGATTGCTTTGGGTTAGCAGATATTGTTGCCTCATCTTTGACAGCAGAAATGAAAGACTAAGGTGTTATGACTTTAAAATCACAGCACAGCCATGTGTTTACATCTCTTTGGTTTGGAATTTATAACAGAGCTACTTTGCTGCAGAAAAGGCTAGCTGGGAAGCATTCTTTTTCCTGTGGGAAGCCATTTTGCAGGCCAGATAGCATGGGTTCTAGAGCTAGACATAGAATAATGAGCCAACTACTGCTCTCTGGTCTTTTTCTTGATTTCCCCTACTTAATGGAAGATCACCCCTTTTCAAAATCTAAATTCCCAAAAATAAATGTCTCTGCATTCCATATTCCAATCCGTTATTCTATTTGATTATCTTTACACTAATTCTGCACTATTTTATTTACAGTCAATTTAAAGTATACTTTAAATATCCAGTAGGCAAGCTTCCTTCATTGATTCCTTTCCAGTTTCTTGAAGTTTTTTGCATTTTCCTTTATATATGTGGTTTTTAGTTGAGTCATAAGATCTTAATTGTTTTTCAGCTATGTGATTTTTATATTACTTCTAAACTTTTTATTGAAGTAACATTGGTTTACATCATTGTTTGTATTTTAAAAGTTTATGACCCCCTCTTCAGGTGTTGTTACCCTAGTGCATCCCCCACCAAAACACCACAGTCTGCCCATATTCCACAGTGCTGCCTATACATTTTGTTCTCAACTTGCCCCCTTAACTCCCCCTCCAGATGTCTCACTCCAATAGTTCTTAAGGGTTAATTGTTAAGTTTGCCTTTATCTAATTTTTTGTTATTTTTTTATATATTCTTTATATTCCACATATCAGTGATCTAATTCAGTCTTTGTCTTTGTCCATCTGATCCATTTCCCTCCAGTAATCCATGTTGCCACAAATGGCATGAGTTGCTTTTTTGATTGCTAATTAGTATTCCATTGTTTGTGTATATATCCACATATTCTTGATCCACTCATCTGATTTTGGGCACTTAGATTGTTTCCATAGTTTGGCTATTATAAGTAGCATTGCTGTGAATATAGGCGCACAAGTTTCCCTTCAAATTGTGGTTTTGCATTCTTCATGTGGATACCTGAGAGTGTGATTACTAGATCACATGGTAGCTCAATTTTCAGTATTTTGACAACCCTCTATATCGTTTTCCATAGAGGTTGGATCAGTTGTATATCCATCAAGAGAGGACAAGCTTCCATCTTTTCCATATCTTCACCAATACTTGCTGTTTTATTTTTTTTTTTTTGACATGGGTCTTACTTTCTTACAAATAATGAGTTGGTTTTCATTTGTGTTTCACTGACAATAAGTTATGATGAACATTTTTCATCAATAATGGAATTTTAAAATCTATTTCTGCTTCATTTATTTTATAACTCATCATAGTCCATAAATTCATCTTTTTGTTCATTAGTTCTTTTGACTTAATTCTTAAGACAATCAGCATATCTTAAAAATGTGATGGGTCTCTAAGATAAGGTGCTATTTTAAAAATCCACTGACATACCTGCTTCATGAAATAAAATTAGATAATTAATGGAAGAGTCCTTTGAAATTTTAGAAAACTACCTAGTAAATACATTTTGTTCTTTTTTTTTTTTTTTAGAGATTTATTTATTTATGCTTACAGAACTGGGGCACAGGCCAGAGGTGTGGTGGGTAAGAAGGTTCACCAGAGTCAGAGTGGGGAGCAGAACAGGCAGATCTACTGAAATACACTGCTGAGGGGAGCAGCAGGCAGGTCAGGAAATGTCTGCCACACCATGTGGGTCAGCTCCCTGGCAGGGGATCAAACTCATGCTGCAGTTGCTTCCAAGAGCTTCATAATGTGGTGCTTTAACCAGTTGCACCACCAGGAAGAGCCCTATTTTGTTCTTATTTTTAATTAATCACTAACTGGAAATGTGCAATCTAATTATCACAATGACTAATCATGCTTCTGAAACCTATCTAAATAGCTAATCATTAAAAACCAAAATAATTGCTGAGTCATGCATGATTCACTCAGCAGAGACAGTTGTCAAGGAATGTAGAGATAAATTTCTATTAGAGAAAGGTTAACTGTGAATAAGATAGAAGACTATTTCTCTCTTGCTCTTGAAAGTTTTCATAAATTTAAGCAAAAAATGTTTTCTACAGAAAAATTTTTAAAAAACACATGTATAACAGAAGACAACATAAATTACTTGATAATTCATTATTAGCGAAGCATTGAAGAATATAGTCCAATTTGAATACAACTCTGGAGGCAACAACCTCAAAAAAAGTAGCTCCAAAAAAATTAGCACAGGATGTCAGTCTGAACTGCAAAAGATATGGAAATGTAATTAAGCATGCACAATAAAGATTATTAACTCTTGGCACATTCTGGTTTCTATTTTGATTCTTAGCTGATGGCTCAACAAATATTTTGGAAAGTAATCTCTCCAAGTTACTGCCAGATGTAAAGACAAAGACAAACCAAATCCAGATCTAACCTAAAAGAATCTGGGGCAACTTATTAATTACCTTAATCCAACATGCAGTGCTCACTGCACTTGAAACACAAATTTTACCAAAAAAAAAAAAAGGCATTTAAAGAGATTAATAGAAGCTCCTTGGTGAGTTAGCAATGGAATGCATCCATTAAACATTGTTTGAGATTTGTACTTGTAAATATAGGGGTAAAGAAAAGGGCAGAACTGAACTTGCCAAACTCACTGTGCCAGGAAACAGGGAGAATTATCAGTCTCATGATGCATGAAGGTAGAGAGACACGAATGGTTCAGATCTTGATTTTCAAAGATCTCTGAGAAGCCTTCACTGTGTTTGTTATTTTTTTTTATCAACTTAAGCAAAATCAGAAAGGTTCACTGAAAGACCCTTTTTCTGATGCATTAAGTTTCTGCATGAAGACAGAAACTTAATGCATCCTGGAAGCTACAAGGATGAATTTTCAAAAACATGTAGCTGCAGATGACAAACATGGTCAAATTAATTCTTAAAAGGATCCAGAATTCCCAGAACTTGTTATCAAACCACCTACTCCCATTTACTTAATCAAACACTAGGTTTTGCTGTAA